TATCAGTGGTTAACAGGTGGCTAATTTTTAGGCCAAATACTTGAAATTCTCTGATACTTCTTATGGAAATGCTTTTGGTTCATACTTTAAAAGTTTGAGTTTTCTTCTAGGTTCCTGAGCCCTGAATTTATACCTCCCAGAGGAAGAACCGACCCCTTAAAGTACTATATAGAAAGGAAGGATATGATACAGAGAAGAAAAGTCTTCAACATCCCTGAGTTCTATGTTGGTCAGTAACAGCACTAAAACTCTTATCAGTGTTTTATGGTGTGGGGTTGGGTAAAAAGTGTGGTCAGATTTTGTTAAATAGTGTCAGGTGTGTTAGATCAGCTAGTATGTGTTCCTGTACATGCTACTTCACATTTTAATTTCATATTTACATCTGATTTCCATTAAAAATATAATACTGATGAGTTTCTTTCATGTTTTTTTTTCCAATCCTGGAACTTTAGCGTATGGTTTACCAGTAAGGCTCAAGAAAGGAAAATACATTATTTCTATTCAATTTGGATAATCAAGAGTAAATGATAAAGGGTCAGGTGCAAAGGTGAGGAAACTTCATAGTTAACCTGCAGAATCACTTTAACATACATTAATTCAGGGCATGTTTGAAGTTTATTTTGATTCTGGCAGTTTTCATGGAAAATAAAACATTTTCATAACGTAACTGAAGGCATATACTTTGTCTGACTCTCTTCCCATATTTTGGTATGTATTTATTTGACCACTCTTACTTATGTATTGTTTTTTGGCAGGCAGCATCCTCGCTGTTACTACTGCAGATCCATATGCCAATAACAAAACCAACCGGTTTGTAGGCATCTGCATTCAAAGAGGAGGAAAAGGACTTGGCGCTACCTTTGTTCTTCGGAATGTTATAGAAGATCAAGGTGGGTTTTGAACTGTGCTAATTATCATGGAACCATAGAATGGTTTGGGTTGGAAGATCATGTATTTCCAACCCCTCCTTCTGTGGGCAGGGACGCCTTCCACTAGAGTAGGTTGCTCCAAGTCCCATCCAGCCTGGCCCTGAACAGTGCCAGGGATGGGGCAGCCACAGCTTCTCTGGGCAACCCGTGCCAGGGCCTTATCACCCTCACAGGGAAGAACGTCTTCCTAATATCTAATCTAAATCTCTCCTCTTTCAGTTTAAACCCATTCCTCCTTGTCCTACTGCTACTACCTATGCTAGAAAAGTTAAACTAAAAAAATGTTGGAGGTGTAATGTGAAGCAATACCTGGTGTAGAAATTTAGTCTGTGGAGGGGATGAAAGCAGATGAAAGTGAAATCATGATCCTAGCTACTAAGGATAGTGCAAGTTTAAAACTGTATACACAGCGATGTTGATGTGCTCTATAATGGAAGGCATGGAACTGTGTAGTAATTTTTTTTTCTATATTTAGTGATTTATAGATCTATGTTCTGAAAGACTGAAGGCAATTCACTATGGTTGTGCTTAGATTTGAGCCTGGTTAGTCTTCTGCTAGCCATGCAAATACCAGCCCAGTTTGAGTGCTGTGTATTTGCATGAACTGGGGATGTACACATGAACTGTTTAACAAGCAACAAATTAGCAGCATTTATTGACAGGTTCTTATTCTGGTCTACGACAAAATGGGTGGCAGTGCAAATACTGATGTTTTGAGAATAAATATGAAAGGGGTGGGTGTCTTCTTTATACACACTACACACACAGTGAGCTAAATAATACCAGCCATAGTAACCAAAAGGAAGTAAAGTTTAAAACCCAAGCTCATCTTCCTTAAATTCAGGCCATCCATGTCTCTTAAGACATTCTGTTATCAAAGACTTGACTTGGAAATTGGTATTTGCCTGTGCAGACACAGTCACATATACAGTCACACATGCACACAGCGCTGTATGTTTAATTTTCTGATAAGTAGAAAGAAGTTCTTGAATAATACAGGAATGTGTAACACTGAATACTGATTTGTTGTTAATATTTCTAATGAATTTGGTTCATTAAGCCAGACTTTCTCTCTCCAAGGTGTTGAAATACGTTATGAACTGTACAATCCTCGAATCCAGTCGATAGAGGTTCTGAAGCTGGAAAAGAGGCTGGATGACAACCTGATGTACCTGCGAGATGCTCTCCCTGAATATAGTACATTTGATATGAATATGAAACCTGTGTTTCATTTAGCCCATGAAGAAATCCCTGTAAACAAGGTAAGAGCCATGTGTTTCAGAGGGAAAGTGGAGGATCATTTAGGTAACTTTCACATCTGACTGATATACTGGCAGGCTGTTTACCAGCTCTGTGCTACATTAGTTTACCAGGGTGGCAAAATAAGGTGAGTCTTTATGCCATTTCTGTAGTGACGAAATGTTGAAAATATAAATACCTGCCATGCTCCATAGTTAGTTTTGAAGATACTCATGGAGTGGTGGCTTCCACATGCCTCTATATAACACTGTGCAGAAGGGAAAGCTCTTCCTTACAGAAACATTAGCAGAAACGTGGTTATGGATTTGGGAGTGCGAGGTGCCCAGAAGGAAGGTAAGATGGGAAGAGACAGCTAAAATCTGCATTCTGGGCGAAGACCCAGAAACCAGCAGAGCCTGTTAGTGTTGTCTGGTAACTCAGTAGCTTAGAGCAATCACTCCTCCCTTTCCCAGTAGGCTACTCTTCTTTTTCCTTAATAAGGAGCAGAACTTCAAAAGATGATTTAACTTTACTCAATGTGTCAATTTAAAAACTGTATAATTAATCAAGACAATTAAAATTTTTCACAAGATGCTATGACAGTGGTCATGTAGACACAAAAAAATTCCCTTTTGGCTAACAGAGTAAAGTAGTAGTTCCTTAACACTGATAAACTGGTCTGTTTTCTCTTATTTCCTTGTTAGGGCAGTGATTGTCTCACCTTTTGCTAAACTCACAATCAAAATTGTGATTACTTTAAAAGCTTTGGGGTTGTTTTAAAATTTGTTAATCTTTCACACTAGCTGCAGGTACGAATGAAACCTAAGCCATGGTCAAAACGGTGGGAAAGGCCACAATTCAACATAAAAGGAATAAAGTTTGAGCTACCTGAGGAAAAAATGAAAGAAGCACAGAAGTGGAGCAAGCCCTGGCTGGAGTTTGATATGCTGCGGGAGTATGATACCTCAAAACTGGAGGAAAAAATTTGGAAAGAAGTGAGCGAAGAGCTTAAAAAACAGTAATGGCTTTTGCACTTTGGGAGTTATGGAGAAATTTAATACTTACTTTGACTTTAGTCTTTAGATTATCAGTTGTCAAGTTGGGCTTTTTTTTACATGCATAGGCAATGTAAGCAATAAAAGCAATAAAGTTAACCTTTCCAGAAGATTTTAAAGTGTACAGACTCTTGTGGTTGAGCAGTGACTTTCTGAAAACAGCCATTCCTTTTGCTGAGCCTCATAGAATCACAGAATGGTTTGAGCTAAGGGAGCTTAAAGATAATCTACTTCCACAACCCCTGCCATGGGCAGGGACACCTTCCACTAGACCAGGTTGACTCAAAGCCCTGTCTAGCCTGGCTTTTAACCTGGTTCCTTTTTAAAATTACAGTTCACGAGATAGATGGGTTTGTATCACCCAGCCAAGTTAGTTGTATTGTCATTTCCAAATACATCTGCTGCTTCTCTCTTTGCAGACTAGGGAGGGGCCAGTTGTAGAACTGCTTGACTTCAGTAGTAGGCTGCAGGGAAGTGGAGATGTCTGAGTCAACTGTATACTCTCAGCATAAGCACTGTTTAGTTTTTCCATTAAAAAAAATTCCTGTTTCTGAGAGATGAGCATTACTGCTCTGCCAAAAGAGCAACAAATACAAATGCTCTGAAACCAGTTCTGAAGAACAGAACGAGACTGGACAGACGATGCTGTTTAAGCTAAATCATGTGAGTTAGTGTAAGGTTCAAGATAAATGATCACAGAGGGTCAGAGCAGGTTCTCAGTACCGGGACAGCTGGTTTCACAGAATTATACATCCATAGCAGAAGCACGTGGGTGTAAACTGTGTTCCTGTGCTTACAAGTCATTGCACAGGATCTTCCAGAAAGAACCACCTACAGAGCTAAATTGTGACAGAACATCTGTCACATTTTCATAATAGCACAAGGCTGGTTGCTTCAGGAGAGACAGCTAGGATGAGACAAGAACAAGATAAGCAATGAGGTCAGGAGCTGCTGGAGGTTGCTGATGACCTATTGCAAGTTTGTTGGCATAGAAGAGGAAAAGCAACAGAATTTCACCATTACTAGAAAGCAGGATGTGGAACATCAGCTCATAACCCCTAGAGGTAATGAAGGCTAATGGTGCCTGAGGTTTTTTCGTGCTTCTAATAACATTCCTGTCACATGTTGAAGATCTGAATTGTAGGAGTCATTAACACAGCAAACTATTTTTACTTCATTTTCAGAATAAAACATTTTAAAAATCACCTTGTCTGTAACACTGATCAAAACTATTTACAGGTAATTTTTTTTACAAAAATACAATTTTAACTTAAAAATACAAAAGAAATCGCAGGTATTAAGGCTGTAAGAATTAAAATTCTAGTCCCAGAAGACTATGGAGAAATACAGTCACAATTTACAGAATCTGTGATGCACTACAGTTTCCACAATAAAGCATCCTTCTTATTATCTAACAATATTCAGTGCAAATATACAAAGTTATACAACATTAGAAATCTCATCAGGGTATGATGAACTAAGGGGCTGTAGATCTTGCTGGGAAGCAAAAGGAAGACCTTAGAGCTTCAGTTACTAGAAAGTAACTGACTTGGTTCCTGTGCTTGCCATCAAGGCGTCTGTAATTAAAAGCCTGACAAAACAGGGCATCCAACAGCTCTGCCTGTGGGCACACCAGCTCTGTCTGTACCACTCTAGCACAAGACCACACCCATCAGATGCTGTCTTCACAACGAGTCTGCTCTTCCCCAGTTCTCTTGTGAAAGCTTTTCCCTTGCTGAAGCCATATTTACCATCACACTCCTCACTGCTCCACTGATTTCCCTTGTGTCTGTGTTATGGTCAAAACCCCCGCACCATGACAAATTCTATTTCACCAGGGATGGCTGGACATTACCCAAAATCACTATGGACCACAGGTTAGAAGAGCTCAATGATGCCAAGTCAGAGTGGTATTTAGTCATTAATACTGAAAATAGCTTGTGAAGTTGTCTGCTGGTGAGCAGTGACAAATTGTACAGGCACTTTCTCTCTTTCCAGGAATCCTTCCAAAAAGGATAAAGTAATAAAACATTGTCATACATCTTAGAATGCCCAAATCATCACTTTACTTTGACAACTGTAACTTGTAAAAGGACTCCTTTAACCTAGGAGTAGATGGCAGTAGAAGACACTTGGAAAAGAGACCTCAAGTATTTAACAGTAAGACAGTGATTACTACTGCATATTTGAGTAGGCAGGATTCACTAATTAGATTTCATATCAGAGCTGGTTTAGTGTAACTAGCGGGCTTGCTGCAGTATTGGACCTTGAAAATCTTCTATTTCCCAATCATCGACTTAAGGTGTTCAAGTTTATACTCTTCAATGAAGCCTTCAACAACACCCAGAGCTTTGACTTTCATCAGCAAGAGAAGGACTTCTTTTGTTTCATCACTACAAAAAAAACAAAACAAGAAAATATTATTTTGCAGCACTTCCATGTGCCTGCCTTAAGCACACTTTACATTTACTCATCTTAAAAAAACAGTAAGATATCTGTCCTCAGCTGCTTGTCATCAAGTGACCTTGGCTACCCTGGTCACTAAGGGTGCCTAACACTGGCAGCTCAACTTGTCAAACTAGAACTGCAGAAGCACTCCTTTACATTCTAGACTTCATCTTTTATGTCTATAGAATATATGCAATGAAAATAACCTTGAAAGTGTCAAATACATGAGACTTAAGGTATTTAAAGAAGTATTTAACACAAATTATTCAAGGAAGTGCCCAAATCCCAAGGAAGGCCTTATCTATTACCTGTGGTTATTCTTGTGCAGCGTACGGGCACACTGGAGCAAGTATTGGCAGAAGTTCTGTAATTCAGGGATGGTTGACCCACTTTCAAGATCTTGGAACCACCTTTCTGGGAGACACGCAACCACCTGCTCACACCAAAAGTTTATAAGAAGAAAATCTTTCAATATAATCAAGTCCCATCACTTCTGACAGGGATCTTCTGGCACATTAGGTTATTACTAGAGGCGTGTGTTTTTTCTTTGAAACGAAGATTGACTATCCCTACAAGGAGTTACTCATAAGAACCTATGGACCCTTATTTACTCTAAAATGCTTTTATGCACCAACATCATAAAAAAAATTAAATTTTAAATTATGTTTAAATTTTAAAATCTTTAAATATTTCCTCTTGTTTCAACCACTCTTCATAAAAACAACAAAATAAAAGCTTTTAGCTTAAACCCTCCTCCAATGTACAAGTCACCTTTTACCTTATGACACTTTACTATATTATCAGGCCCTGGTGGTGTGTTTAAGAGGTTCAGAAGAAGGTAACGATTCAGCAACTTGCTCAGTCCCAAATCACGTACGGTATCTTCCTGTACAAGTCCATCCCAAAGAAGAATATTGGAGAGCAGCTGTAGTAATAAAGAAACAGAGTATGTATACCGGGTGGCTGGAAGTGTGTTAAAACACAGTAACACAAGTTTTGTGTAAGATAAAGATAACATTATGTCCCTTCACTAGAGCAGGTTGCTCCAAGCCCCGTCCAACCTGGCCTTGAAACACTGCCAGGGATGGGGCATCCACAGCTTCTCTGGGCAACCTGTGACAGTGGCTCACCACCCTCACAGGGAAGAATTTCTTCCTTATAGCTAATCTAAATCTCCCCTCTTTCAGGTTAAAGCCCAAGAATACACCTTCCTGAGAAACACAATGGTTATCCACACCCTAATAGAAATGTTTTACTCTCCCAGGAGCCAGACTTGAGTGAAGATATATTTCCTGACTGACTATAAATATTTTTTCAATAAAATGAATTGCAAAGACTGAAAAAAAGATGTATTTTCTCTACCTTAGCAGCTGACCAAAACTGCCTGTCTTGAAACTTAGAATGTGGTGATGACTTGTCTTCCATAGTGCTGGTCATGGAAAGAAGGAAAAAAAGGTAACGGAGTTTTTGTTTGTTTTTTAAAGGAAGATAAACAGACAATTGATCTCTTAGATACTGATGAATGTTAATTCTGGAATTGTTTCAGCAGTGACAGCCACAACCAGAATAAATGTCTAAGGAAACAGCTGCCAATTTGAACCCTTTGTAATACCACTACTACGAATTAACTTTCAATAGAATTACCAATTGGAAACACCTGTGTCTGCATTTTATGGATATGTACCAAAACAGAACTGCTTAGAACCAAACATCCTACCCCATCTTTAGCAAAGCTTCTCTCATAGTTGTATTTTAACCCCACATCTCCCAGACTCTTACTCCCATCTTCAAAATAGTGCCCAGAAATAAGCATCCATGATAAAACCCCTATTTTTGGAACAGGAGGAATTCAAGGGACACAGGTACACAACACCAGACAACCTGGACTAAGACAGGCCCTCAGACAGAAATTGCTATGCTAAAACCAGACTGTAAATCTCATATATTGAAAAGCTTTCGGTTATAAGAACTAAAAAAGCATTAAGTCAGTGGAGTTATCCTTTTAGAAAGGGTTCATGAAGAGGACAAAGGCTTCATAACCTCTCCCATAATAAAACAGTAGAAGGCATGTTTGTTCCATAGCTGTTGATGGATGTTTACAATGTTTCATCTATAGCTGTGAGGAAAAAGGGTAGAGGAACTGAATTTGTATTTTTTCAAGATTCCCAGAGTCAGCTTACCTTTTAGGATACAGAGGAATAAAGACATCTTCCTCTACAGATTTCTTCATTCTTAGGATAACCACATTCATCAAATCCTATTAAAAAAGAATTATTAATGTGTCTCACAAGAAAGACTTCCTCTTTCGTTTGTAACAACTTCACTGATTTTGTTCATCTAGAAGTGTAGTGTTACAGATAAGTAAGCTGCCACTTGTATATAAAACACACTGAGAAGCAATATATTAAAAACAGTAGACAAATCACAGCTATAATTACCTACAGGGTTAACCTAGTGTATTTAATCACCATAGCTACGTTAGGATGTGGTTTTAGGCAACATGCTTTTAGGTGCCATAGACTGCCACCTACCTTTTTTGAAGTTTAGTTTACTTTCTGTACAACATAGCTATGATCAACTGTACCACTTGACTTCAAGTCATGGTTTCAAATCAGCACCTCTGGAAGGCTCAGAAGGGACAAAGATTTTCTTAAAATACTTCTTTCGTACTCAGGGCCTAAATATCCATTCTGTTTCACCAGTTTTATACTAGATACACCTCCAGATTTACATCAAACTGGAATCAGGCTGAAGAAGGGCATGCTAGAGGAACTATGGGTATAAAAGTAATTATTAAAAGACTGCCAAGATTACAAAGTAGCCTTTCTCCTAGTGAAGTAATTAACCTTTAGGGATTTTCAAGTCTTAAAGTTTTATATCTGCTTCATAAATAAAAGCTTAAGGAGTTGACCACTGAAGCATTATGAGCATGTAAAGCTCAAACTTGGAAAGATAATTAAATGCAAACGTAAATTCTAACCAGCACCACTGAAGTGAAGCAAGATTAGATCTACAATCAGCTTCTTGGTAGGTACAGGCAGAATTTTTCTAGAGCAGAAGCTAATTTCTGCCTTAGGAGCATCCCATCTCCCACCACCATCAATAAGGTGAGCATGAGAGAGCTGAAAATTTAACTGTTAAATCTTGTCAAAACAAACAAGTAATCAGAACCAAACAACTTCAGGACAGTGCCCTTAAGAACACGCACAGAAAGCACACACAGTGAATGAAGGGCTTTTTTTTTTTTTTTTTACCTCTTTTGTTTGATTGCGCTTATTTTTTGACAGGACTTGTTTTACAAAGATGTTGTTGCAAAGCTGTACAAGATTCTTTGTCTGTGAAGTAGATAAAGGATCCCACACACTCTCCACAAATGCTGGAAAATAAGGAAATTCATTTCACTCACAATACGCAAGTACGTATCTGCTGTAGTTCAAGGCACTGCAACGTAATGGAAGCAAACACGTAAAAAGCTAAGGGTCCCTCACTAATCTTACAAAGTGGTTGCTTTAGTCCCCCAGAGTGAGGCTATGTAATCGTTACAACTTGGAGCACCATTACATAACTAACATTATTTGAAAGCTATCGCTTTTATTTAAGGTTTGACTGCCTAGCTCAATGAACATTTTGAAGACAATCTCACTATACCTGCAATTTTTGGAAGAATAGTTTTTTCAATCACCCTAGGCAAAACTTCTTGATCAGGATCATCATCCCTTGTTGATTCTGATACGGCTTTGGCATTGCTGAATTCTTCTATAGCTTTGAACCAGGGCATCTCTTCCAACTCTGTAAAATTCTGCTGAAAGACCATTCCTGTTAGTTTTTCAGCTTGTCAGGCTTAAAAGAAAAGCTCTATCCAATGATACCAGAGATTCCCACTTAATTTCAGATCCACCCTCTTCACTGAATGGGCCAAAATGGCGAATCAGGAAAACGACACTTAAAGGTGAAATTTAAAGGTGGGAATTTTAAAGTGTCTTCAAACAACTCAAGAGAAGAATTCTTTTTACATGGGGCATTGCAAAAGGGTCTGGATGTAAAGGGAAAGCAGAAGGTTAAGAAGACTCCAACCACATGCTTCAATTTCTGAGACCAACACAGTATCTTTCTATCCATTTCTAATGCACCATGCTAAGTATAGAAAAAGCATCTTGATTTTTCATATCATGTATTAATACACAAACACATGTACAATTGTAGAAGAAAACAGTCAGTTGGTGCACCTACCTCTAGAGGATTCCAATTCATTAACTGAACTCTGATCAATGGATTTAATAGCTTAGGCAGGCAGAAACTGATGTAAGCATCACAGTAAGAGTCAGGAAGCTTCTCTTTCCATTCCTGGAATTTCAACAGGATTTTTCTGATGTCACAAAAATCTGCATGTACATCTTCAAAGACCTTCCTACTATCCTCTAAAACGTTATCTATGGATAATATTCATTGGGAATAAAAAGAAACAATCACAGAACTTATTGAAGTATAAGCTGAAGAGTTTATGCATCTATAGGGCATGAGAAATATCTGTATGATATTTGTCATTTATCTTTGACAGATCTGATACTGAAATGGATTTTAAAACTGGCTCATTGGAAATCCCAGTTTCATAAAAAAATACTGTCAGAAGACCAAAAAAAGGCAAGTTTCTTCATGATCTACTTCACAGACTTATACAGACACAGTGTTTCAAACTTTACAACACTGAAAAAATGTGAGACATGTAAACCCTTCTGGAGTTATCTGGGAAAAGGGTATTATGCCTTTCCCTGCTCCTCTTTATCCATTCATTCAAGATAACTAGAACACCAGCCTTTCACTCACACTATCTCCAGGAAACAAATTGATTATACAAAACACGTTGTAGCATCACACTGAGTACTGTCAGATTAGCTTTGGCATGATCTAAAAGAGCTTACTTCCAGTTCAACCACTCATGTGTGATGCCACCACAAGTCATACCAAAAGAAATCTACACCCATGCACCTATTCACAGTATCACAGTATGCTAGAGATTGGAAGGGACCTCAAAAGATCATCTAGTCCAATCCCCCTGCCGGAGCAGGAACACCTAGATAATGTTACACAGGAATGTGTCCAGGCGGGTTTTGAATGTCTCCAGGGAAGGAGACTCCACAACCTCCCTGGGCAGCCTGTTCCAGTGCTCCGTCACCCTCACTGAGAAGAAGTTTCTATTCTTCCCGACTCATTAGTCAGAACTGTCTGAATGCATTTCTTTTCTACAGTGTGTAACCAGGAATATGCAACTCAAAGTATTCCTTTACCTTGAATTGTTTATGTGTTTACCATTCCTAAAATCATTTAAAAAATATGTTGAAGAGATTTTGTTCTTGGACATTACAACAGTCACCAACCTTTGCTCTTCTGGAACTCATTAATCTCTGCTGGAGTCAGCTCATCGTCACTTGACATGCCTTCATGATGATCAGCTTCTCCTGAACACTCTCTTGCTTGCCGTCTGCAAGTCCTGTATTTTGTAATGAACTTGGGTGAGTGACCCTCTCCCGTGTATGTAGAAAATCCATTAAAATGATCATAGAATCATATAATACGGAATTCCAAGGATCTTGCTGCTTCAAAGTACAGTTATGAGTTGAGGCACCAATGTAACTGTAAAGCTTTTAAAATGCCCGATACTTAAAAGAGTTGGTACCAATCCCTGAACACAGTCCTTATACAAAAATGTAGTAACTGACCTACACTGATAAGAGTATAGATGTTGCTTTGCTTTCACTCACCACCAACTCCCAGCAGCAACAATACCACCTATTTTTGCTATCTATACAATGATAGAAATATATATTTCTGTATGAAGTCATTATTTATTAAAGCTCCCCTCATATAGTTTTTCCTCACTTACAACTTGTTAAATTTAAAATAACAAGATCTATAAGCATTCAGATTCAAATCAACATGAACAGAATGATATTAACAAATAGATGGTTTCCAAGCATTTCAAGTTTTGGAAAGCAAGTACATATTTTTTTGTGTAATCTCATTTAGTAATCCTACAGGTTTACATTCATCACTGAGTAAGCGACAGGAAGCCAGTGCACAGTACATTAAATCGGAGTTAAGTGCACCTATATGTAATAGCTACCTTCGACGCTCACACATTTCCAGAACCTGTGTCTTCTTATGACCTTTTAATCCATCATTACCAGGTTTGTCATTCCCACCTATCAGAAAACAAAAACATACAAAAATAAAATGGTTTGATTTTAAAGTGTCTATTTTTTTCAGTCAGGAAACACAGATCCTCCTCCTATCATTCTTCATTTGGAAAATAGCCAAATGAAAGTCAAACCTAATCTCCATAGTGCACAAGTAAGTATTATTTTTAACTGCATGTAGTCAGATGTGGTTGTTTCCTTATAGCAGTTGATGAAAAGGTGAGTTTCATGACATTCCAGACAACTCTCACTGCTTACTAATCCTGGAAAAGGAACTTAATGTCTTCCATGATAGGTTATCAGAAGTGTGAAAGGCAAGGATAGGGACTTACCTTCATCCTGTATATCAAAAATGAAACCATGTAATAAATTAGAGTAACTTTAGAGCTTCAGTTCCAACACTGTAATGGAAGTTAAGTCCCTGATTTACACTATTCAAAAATCATTGCATTTAGATTTCAAGACTAGTCAGCCCCCCACTGTCTCCTGTTATCTGAGTGGTAACTGACCCGAACTACCCTTACTCTGATTCTTGAGGCTAACACAGAATTAGAAACAAGAAGCATTCTCTACTTTGGCCATTCATTTGTAGTGTAAGTGTAGCCCTATTAGCTACCTGGCATGTGCACAACATGCCAAAACAAGTGTACTACTGAAGTATTATCATATATGAAAAAACAGCCCTTCCACTATATTAAATACAACTAGGACCATAAAAAAACAATTACAAGTGCTATTAAACATGCAAGTACAGTCTCATTTGCAATGAGCTTTAAGTAAAATCATTTTAATGACAACTTATTATGGCACTACCCTTTTCTTCTTAACACCGGCTGTCAGCTTGTTACACCATTTTACAAAATCATACAGGCTGCTAGCTTCCTCTAATCAGCAGTTTATCCTGTGTAGTGAGAAAACTGAACCCATGTGATTAGTAGTTACCAGGAACTGGTGCATCTGGCCTCCATCTGTTCCCAGCACCTCCAAGCATACTGCTTTTCGCTTCGACTAAGCGGTTTTAAAGGGTTTGGTTTTGGATGTTTGGTTGGGTATTTTTAAATAGGACCAGCTGAAGATTCATATGGCATACAAACAATACATTTGTGTGGGAAGAAAGTGAGGTAACTGCAATATTCTTTTTCTACAGTGACTGAAAAACACCATTTTGGTTTAGATAAAACACAAAGGTGCTTTTTTCTTTATGCCCTTCTCTTCACGTGTCACCTAATACAGAATCTCCATTCTGAGTGCAAAAAGCCTTAAAGATGGTCTCATGTAGAAGTGATGCTGCAAGTAAACACCCTGCTTTTCATCTCAGTTGAACACACCTACAGACAATGGAAAGGAGAAACCAGATAAAAGTAAAAAAGGAAATGCAGAACTTTACTTCTGCTCAAAGAGTGAATGTTTCAACAAGAAAATAACTTTTAACTTCATACTAACTTGTCAGATGCTGAATATAAGCAGATTCATCTTTCAGTTCATCTTGCCTTCGTTTCAATACTCTCATGGCTTGTTGCTGAAGAAGTACATGTACAGCCAATTCTAGCTCATTAATGGATTTCAGCTGAAATATAATAAATAATAATCAGGTTTTCAATTAAGTAAAATCCCAAAAGAATGGAAAAACCCAACCCCTTCCATGGGTTTTCAGTATAGCTGTGAAATTAGAATCAAACTGTCATAGATTAAAAATAAGTTCCTGGTCACTGGAGTTCTGCAGGCTTTTTTTATAAGGCTGAAAGAGCACAAACTAAATGCCAGTTACTCACCACAGGACTACCTAAGTATTCCTACAAAAGGCTTCAATAGGACAAAATACTTGGTGTGCTTTGTTTGCTTTCAGTTTGCCTTTGAGCCACCAGCCATTAAAGAAAATGTATTTATTAAACTAACTTTTTTTCTTCCTTAAAGTTACATACAGAAATTCACAACTGCAATGCAACGAAGTGACATAAATTAGATTTGATAGCAGAGTCTACAGAGGATAAGAGCAGTTTACTTTCACTGAGGCCAAACTTCAGGTGGCACTTCCCCTTCTCCAAACTATCATCTTTTTAAATACACAAACCTTGCAGATCAGGAGTCAGTTGCAGCCAATAATGTCCACAAATTCTCACACAGCTCTGCTAACTCAATCCCAACTTGAACCCAACACAAAATCCTTACCACCTCTGCTATGTAACCCTGAGTAAAGTCATTCTGAGATCCCAAAAGTGAACTTAAATGCCACCTCTCATTCAACTTCAGCACACTCTCATTACTAGACCTGCAGGAAAGTCCCTCCAGTAACATTTTGTTTTCATTCAACAGAACCTAGCTGAGACGACAGCTCAAGCAAACGTACCTATACTAGCTTGGTCATCACTTCAGGTGAGGGCTAATATTTTTTCCTGCTAGTTTGTTTCCTGTTACATTAAAATTTCTGACAGAACTGATTTTTAACTGGATGGTATCCCTCCATTTCCAAACAAACCCCCCTCATCTTCCATTGACAGAACACACCCTTATCATCCGTATTTAAAAAAAAATAAATAAAAGGAGGAAAAAAAATACATACCTTTTCATTCAAACAATTTATCAAGTTTTCCACATATGTTTTCATGGACCTGTAGAATTTGTAATTCAGAGCTGCATCTGAAGACTTCTCTAGCACCTGGACAGTCACCTTGGAACTCTCAATGTCCTCCTTGTATTTCTCATACTCCCTCTGGTGGGCACGGTGCACATTCTGTAGTGAAGTTATCCTAAGAGAGGAGAAACACAGAAAACTAAACTATGGCCAAGTTAACAGCTGATTTCTAAACACTTTTTCCATTATAATCACATATAAAAATCTTTGCCTGTGCTAGTACTTGCACATAAGCAGAGCTGGAAGATTTACCCATGCCAGCATTTTCAGAAGTATGGAGCTGGACAAGCATCATAGTTTGAAGATTCAAACACCATTTATGTGGTGCCAGTTTTGATATTTGACCTAGATTTTTAACTAGATATTTTACCTGATATCTGACCTAGATTGCTCAATGTACCATACATCCTAAAACCATAAAAAGCCAAATTTCATGGCATCACATTAATTGGATTTTACCCAAAGTAATCTGAGGAAAACTACAGCTCATGTCAGCATGTCCATAATGCCAGTTCGGTATAAGCTGCATGGAAAGCAGTATCTGTCAGCATTCACCATGCGTTCACTACTAAATACAAACCAACTGAGGACTCCCGCTGCTAGTAGTTGAAAAAACCCAGAAACCTGTATCTATAGCTCCGACTATTAGACAGGAATGTTTATATATATAACAACTCTGCTTCCTTTTTTAGCTCCCCCTTCCACTCTTACACATCCCAAGTGTTTGCTCAGCTTGAGTAAACCTCTAACAGAACCAAGAAAACAGACCACAACTTACTTCACCTCTCTGAAGCAGAGAACACTTTTCAATAAAGATAACTGAACTACACTACTGTTCTCTGCCATGCTACAATTAAAAATACCCAACCTTACAAAGTTTAACCATGCCAAGTTCAAGGTCCTACACCTGTGTCAGAGCAATACCAGCCACAGCTTCAGGCTGGGCAGAGAAGAGATTCAGAGCAGCCCTGCGGAGAAGGATTTGGGGGTGTTGGTTGATGACCTGGCTTCAGTGTGCGCTCACAGCCCAGAAAGCCAACCATATCCTGGGCTGCATCAAAAGGAGTGTGACCAGCAGGTCAAAGGAGGTGATCCTGCCCCTCTGCTCTGCTCTTGTGAGACCTCACCTGGAGTATTGTGTGCAGTTCTGGTGTCCTCAACATACAAAGGACATGGAACTGTTGGAACAAGTCCAGAGGAGGGCCACGAGGATGATCAGGGGACTGGAGCACCTCCCGTATGAAGACAGGCTGAGGAAGTTGGGGCTGTTCAGCCTGGAGAAGGCTGCGTGGAGACCTCATAGCAGCCTTCCAGTATCTGAAGGGGGCCTATAAGGATCCTGGGGATGGACTCTTCATTAGGGACTGTAGTGACAGGACACAGGACACTATTCTATGATTCTCTGATTTCAGCACTTACCACGTTAAACAGACCTACAAAGCTTACATTAAACAGGTCTCCCTCCCCTTCTTGCTATTTTCCAGATGGGTTTCCCACTCTTCATAGCTTTATTCTTATTTTTCTTATTTGATTCTGTACCAAAATTCCTACTTAACTCGATTCCTTTCAGGTGATTATGGCAAAGAGAGCATAAAATTCACAAAAATATTTAGTCCAATTTAGTTGCAAATTTTTAAACAAGCAGGTCAGTGATGGTCTGTAGAAAGCAAAGCATATACAGAGAGAGCACAGAGCAAGTTCATAGCAGCTACTTATGTCTCAGCTGTATAACATTACTTGTCTAAACTTATCTGAGCAGCTGCTTCCTGATGCTCTGAGAGATGACAGGCAATGGCTTACCCTGGGACGTCTGACCACAACTGTCCTTTTCACACACCCTCTGGAAGGTTCCAACCTCCATCCCAGGATGTTTCAGCTGCACATATGGCAGCTGTGCTGCTAAAGAAAAGTCACAGCCTGGCTCACAACTAAGGAGAAATATCAAGAAAGGTTCTAGTTTGCCTAAATAGGCTGTACAGAGTTTACCGCTGCTTTTAGGAAATACTGGTGTAAGACCCACTGTAAGGGGGATAGGATTGTCAGCTCCACCTCCCCTACTTGAAGTTTTGCTTGCTGGGCAAACATAACATTGAACCAACGTTTCTGTCAAACACTAGAAACCATAAAAAGCTGTTGCAATTTAAATGAATTCACTCTCCAAGTTCTAGTTGAAAGTCCAAATGTTCCCCTACATCAAATCACTGCCACTTAAAATCTACTAGACATCATAACAGGAATTAGTACACATAAAACAACCCAAAAATCCTGCAATATTCTGGAAAAGAACAGAACTTCAAACTTGTATCTCCCATTCTGTGACAAAAACTTAAGAGAACTCAAAAGTGACACTCATAAGAGCGGGATTTACCTTTCAGTCAGTCGCTTCTTCACAATTTCCAAGTTCACAGGCGGCAGAGAAACAGAGGGATCAAATTTTGCTTTAGCTGATTGTGATTCATACAGGGAAGTATCATCATAAGTTTCCTACAAGAATTTTAGTGTTAATTTTTAATACACAACTTACACAAGTCTTCCCTCTGCAGCTCTTTAGATCAACAAGATGTATCATTCCAATACACAAGGCATATGATATAAAGATATGTATTTCAACAGTCAAATTAAGTACAGGAAAATGTTGTACAGAAAAGCACAACACAGAGGCAAGGAAAATGAAGTATAAAACCCTGCATATGTATGTTGTATAAAAACATATAGTGCATATACATATAAACAGCACAAAATAATCCACAATTTAGGGTACATCTGAGTTGCTGTTTTGGCCTGAAAATATTAATAGCTTTCAACAGCGCATAATGCAGAGCGGTGAAAAATTTCTCAAACATAGAATCATAGAATAATTAGGGTTGGAAAGGACCTGAAGATCATCTAGTTCCAACCTCCCTGCCATGGGCAGGGACACCTCACACTAAACCATATCACCCAAGGCCTCGTCCAACCTGGTCTTGAACACTGCCAGGGATGGAGCATTCACAACTTCCCTGGGCAACCTATTCCAGTGCCCCACCACCCTAACAGGAAAGAATTTCCTTCTTATATCCAATCTAAACTTCCCCTGTTTAAGTTTTAATCCGTTACCCCTTGTCCTATCACTACAGTCTCTAATGAAGAGTCCCTCCCCAGCATCCCTGGAAGATATCCAGGCCCCCTTCAGATACTGGAAGGCTGCTATGAGGTCTCCATGCAGCCTTCTCTTCTCCAGGCTGAACAGCTCCAACCTTCTCAGCCTGTCTCCATATGGGAGGTGCTCCAGTCCCCTGATCATCCTTCATGGCCCTCCCCTGGACTTGCTCCAAGAGCTCCATGTCCTTCTTTGTGTTCAGGACACCAGAACTGCACACAATACTCCAGGTGAGGTCTCACAAGAGCAGAGTAGAGGGGCAGGATCACCTCCTTCGACCTGCTGGTCACGCTCCTTTTGATGCAGCCCAGGATACGGTTGGCTTTCTGGGCTGCAAGCGCACACTGAAGCCAGCTCATGTTCATTTTCTCATCAACCAGCACCCCCAAGTCCTTCTCCGCAGGGCTGCTCTGAATCTCTTCTCTGCCCAACCTGTAGCTGTGCCTGGGATTGCTCCAGCCCAGGTGTAGGACCTTGCACTTGGCATGGTTAAACTTCATAAGGTTGGCATCAGCCCACCTCACAAGTGTGTCAGGGTACCTCTGGATGGCATTCCTTCCCTCCAGGGTATCAACCGAACCACACAGCTTGGTGTCATCGGCAAACTTGCTGAGGGCGCACTCAATCCCACTGTCCGTGTCAGTGACAAAGACGTTAAACAAGACTGGTCCCAACACCGATCCCTGAGGGACACCACTCGTTACTGGTCTCCAGCTGGACATTGAGCCATTGACCACAACTCTTTGTGTGTGGCCATCCAGCCAGTATCTTTATCAAATTGATGTCGCTCCAATTTAGAGACAAGGATGTCGTGTGGGACAGTGTCGAACGCTTTACACAAGTCCAGGTAGATGACATCAACTGCTCTACCCCTGTCCATCAGTTCTGTAACCCCATCATAGAAGGCCACCAAATTGGTCAGGCAGGATTTCCCCTTAGTGAAGCCATGCTGGCTGTCACCAAGCACCTTGTTGATTTTCATGTGCCTTAGCATGCCTTCCAGGAGAATCTGCTCCAAGATTTTGCCAGGCACAGAGGTGAGACTGACTGGTCTGTAATTCCCTGGGTCATCCATTTTCTCTTTCTTGAAAATGGGGGTTATAGTTCCCTTTTTCCAGTCATCGGGAGCTTCACCTGACTGCCATGATTTCTCAAATATGACGGCCAGCAGCTTTGCAACTTCATTCGCCAGCTCCTTCAGGACCCGTGGATGGATCTCATCAGGACCCATGGACTTGTGCACGTTCAGATTTTTAAGATGGTCTCAAACCAGTTCCTCTCCTACAGTGGGTGCAAGGTCTTCATTCTCACAGTCCCTGCATCTGCCTTCCAAGACTTGGGTGGTGCAGTCAGAGCCTTTGCCAGTGAAGACCGAGGCAAAGAAGTCATTCAGAACCTCAGCCTTCTCCAAATCCTGCGTAGTCAGTTCTCCTGAGAGCTTCCTGAGGGGGCCTACATTCTCCCTAGTCTGTTTTTTATTTGCTATGTACCTGTAGAATCCCTTCCTGTTATCTTTAATACCTCTAGCTAAGTTTAATTCTAACTGGGCCTTAGCTTTCCTAACCTGGTCCCTAGCTTCCTGGACAACATCCCTGTACTCTTCCCAGGCCGCCTGTCCTTGCTTCCACTTATTAAAAGCCTCTTTTTTCATTTTAATTTTCCTCAGGAGCTCCTTATCCATCCAAGGAGGTCTCCTGGCCCTCCTGCTGCACTTCCTTCTGGTTGGGATGCAACACTCCTGAGCTTGTAGCAGGTGATCCTTGAATATCAACCAACAGCCTTGGGCCCTCTCGGGCTATATCCCATGGAACCTTCCTAAGCAGGTTCCTGAAGAGGTCAAAGTCTGCCCTTTTGAAATCCAGGGTAGTGAGCTTGCTGCACGCTCTTCTCACTGTCCTGAGGATCTCAAATTCAAGCATCTCATGATCACAAACATTTAAATAGTTGTAGAAGCATTAATGTGCAAAGCACCCTACATCTATTGGAATTATTATTTTCCATGTCCTTTAAAGCATAAAAAAAGCTCTTGGCAGTCCTGGGGTAATGGCTGGATTAGATGATCTGACAGGTCTCTTCCAACCTAGCTGATTCTATGATTCTATAATGCTTCTACATTGACAACTGAGACTTCACTAGTATCAAAATTCTAAATACAGAATATGGAAATAAACTACAGCCAAGTAGTGACTGCAATACCTGATTTTATTTATATCTTGCTCTTTTAAAGCTATTTTAATATATTTATGATTAATTATTTGCCATCTATTAGTCATTTAATAGTCTATTTTCTCATATCAAGCTTTCTGATTCCACTCCCCCTACAAATATGAATGCTACATTCTGACAAAGCCAGTGGTCAAGAGAGAGATTCTTCACTCACAACTCGGCTTCACTGTAATTATAACTAAAGAAGGATTCCACTGAGTTTTATCTTATAAATTAAAAGACATTGTTCTAAAACCATGGAAGGTTGTATATTAAAATCTAGCCAAAACACAATCCACTGAAGCAAGCAAGTCCGTAACGAACAAGGCCCATTACTAAAAATGGTTGCAGTTTCCTGAACAGTAGAAATTAAGTTTTCCAGAAACAAGTATGAGGTCCTAAGAGCACCAACCACACTGAATCTGGAATTCAGCAGCAAAAAGGTGTAACTTTCTCCCAGTCCTCTAACTACTCCCACTTAAGAGGCAAAAGTTTCTACAGTTGTCTATTTAGACATAAAGAACTTGTTGTTCAGATTTTCCTAATCTGACCCAGAGTAAATGATTCAAGCCAGAAGCAAAACTTCCAGCTCATCAGAATATACAGAGTTTATTTTTGCCAATTATTTACCAGAGGAAAAAAAAGAAAGAAAACAGAATTCTGCTGAACTGCTGAAGAGAGGTCTCAGATTGTGCCCAAGAGGAATTTAGCATAATAGAAGAACAATTTTTGTTTTACAACTTTTTACCATTGTTGCTATTTGAATATTTTTGCTTTCAAGGGTTCAGAATTCTATTCTCTACTTTTCAGACTCTTCCATCACATATAGGTACTGGCCTCTGATGTATGTAAGCAACAATACCCTGCTTCTGAACAGCTATACAGAGATTACAGATTTTCATTATTATCTTCCCATATTTCTAGTCATCTTTTTCCCTGACGAATCAGTGTATAACTTCCCCAAATCCTCTCTAGCAATAGGACAGGAAGGAGATACAGGAGTACTCCACAGAAGCTCTACTGCCTATGAGCAAAAAGCAACTTCCAGGTGTTAGAAAAGCATGCATCACCTGAGAGAGTTTAATGGCTTTCTTTATTTGCTGAACTTCCCACTTAATTTGTGCTTCATCTTCACTTGATTCATCACCCTCAGACACTGAAAGTTGAAATAATCATTAATAGATATAATTACACCCTGTATTCCCCCTCCCCCCAAGCAACAATGGATCTCCCCATCACTACTACACACAAAAAACAGCAGACGAAAAATCTGCAGATGGATGACTTCCAAACAGAAAGGCAAGGAAGGCTTGGAAATAGCTAGTGGGATCTGTAGCATTTACACCAGTATCAATTTCCTCAACATACTGTTTCTCAGACAACTACTGCAGTAAGAGCTGCACAAACATCTTGGGTTTGTGTCTGAAGGCAAAGCTGTGCATAATACATGTAAATAAGGTGTAAGTATAGACTATAATACAGCGAGTGACATTATGCACAGCAAATCCTTGATTGTTCCAAAACATACATTCTACTAGATACAAAAATCTGATTAGCATTAATTAGAATTGCAGAATCAGCTTGTAGTTATGCATTCCTCATAACCCTTCTTCAAATAATAAAGTAAATCTGTGCTTCATAAACAAAACTATAAGCAGCTGTAAGAGGACAAAAGCAATGGAAATGCCAGATATGCTTTCTGTGCAATAGGTCTGTTCACTTTTGAAGCGCTGTATTGTTCAGAGTTTTTTCCCTTTTTCAAGAACAGCCATGGTGTCAGTGCAGGCAAAGCACTTGGAAGACTAGATCAGATGCAGGAGGCAGGATTTACAACAATTTTACTCACATTAAATGCTGTGACTCCTACAAGTTTTTTTTTGGTTTTGTTTGGGTTTTTTTTTGTTTTTTGGTAGCGTTTTTTAATTTTTGCAGTCAATATGGCCAAAAAATGTGGCCTCAACCCTTCCTGCACCACATTAGTGAGACCTAAACCAGGATAATGTCCCACAGAAACCTCAAATACCAGCTGTACAGCATTTTGCCAAGAGCCCTGAGGGGCAAAGCCTTACACTGCACAACCTTATTGGACAAGTGCCACACTATTCCAGACATACATAAAACAAAGCCACAACCACTATCAGAAACAGTACAAACTCACCTGTGTGTTCTGTCATCCTCTGCCTAAGAGTTTTCATTTTAGGAACAAAATCAAGATTCTCTGTATCAGACTCATCTTCACTCTCTAAACCATAGCCTTTTCTCCTCCGAGAGACCTCGTGACTGTTGGAAACATCCAGGGGAAGATAATCATCCTGTATCCTAGCTATCTGACGTTTCCTCCGAGCAGCCTCTATACAATCTGCACTGAGGATGTGACCTGCGTTGAAGAGAAAAAACATCTAAGCAGAAGACTAAAACTAACACCCCATATCACTCCTAATGTCAATAACCACCACTGTTCAGGATCACTGTACAATTCTGAGTATAGGACACAAGATGTTTACACTGTGCTTACCATGTTAATGTAAGGACCTGGAAATGAATCCCTGAAAAGTGGTTCTCAGTCTGAAAACAAAGCTCAGACTTTTTTCTTTTAAATTAACTGCTGTTAGACTGTCCTCTTTTTTTTCATCTCCCCAAAAAATCAGGGCTACTAAACTCAGAGAGTTACAAAGGAATCAAAAGTTTACAAATCAGCACAGGTGGGTTATATTTTAATCTTATGAAGGGAACTTACACCACTGCCAAACAGGAATTTTTTGCAGCCTTTCTTCTGAAACCAATGGTCATGATTCCTGATCCATTTCCAAAATTAACATGCAAATACAACAAATACCTGCAACCAAAAACTGCCACTATTCTTTCAGAAGAAGGGTAGTCATGAGTCAGGACAAACAAAATGCTTATACATTACATGTTTTTAGCTGTGTGGGATTCACGTCACCCATTCTGTACTTCAGCCAAAAAAGACAAAATGTTTTTGTTTTGTTGTTGGGTTTTTGTGTTTTTTTAAAGTAACTTTCTTAAAAACACACAAATCAGGAAATTAACCTGGTGATCGATCCTTCCAACTCTGTGGAGAGCTGGACTCATTTTCAGAGTCTGAGCTGTTGCAGTCCTCACTTAGTGCAGAATGACTTTCATCCTCCTCCACCTCCCTTTCTTCATAAGGGCCTTTGATGCTGCCAGTTCTAGGCTCCAATGTACAGATTTCTGTATTAGGGGCAAAAAAGTAAAATGCATGATTTCAGTTTCAGCTGCTGGCATCTGATGTGCCACGACTGGTTACCAGTAACTATTTACACCTTGCTGCAGCAAAGACTGATCATGTATCTATCACCACCTGCCCTCATCAAAACACGTCCAATTTTCTGATGCTCCAAGACAGTCATTTACAAGCCAGTTCTTGTCTTGAATCCAAGCATCTGTGATAGGCCTAAACTAACATATCATTCTGAGACACAGAGCACATATACATGAACAAGAGCAATGATATCAGCTCCCAGATGACAATTGATTAATATCCTAATAGCTCATAGCACATTTGGGTTCACCTCGCTTTATTTTATAAATAGTATTGAAAAACTGCCTTATTTATTTTGTAAGCATTAAAAATGAGGGAGTCTTTATTTAAGCTACAAAGGTTTATTTATGACTTTTTTGTCCCAATTATCTTTGAATTCTTTAAAAACATTGATTTCTCTTTCCTTGTTACTACATCTTCAGTAAATCATCAGATTACTGAACAACAGAACATGTCACCTTTTGTAAGGGTATGAGATATAGTTCTATAAGAAGTTACAAAGAAAATTTACCATCTCATCTGAAGCACAATCTCAAAAGGAGTTACAGAATCATAGAATGGTTTGGGTTGGAAGGGATCTTAAAGATCACCTGGTTCCAACCTCCCTGCCTTGGGCAGAAACACCTTCCACTAGAGCAGGTTGCTCAAAGCCAAAACATTTCTTAATCCCATTTTAATCTAACAGTAGCAATTAGGGCATATCTACGAATTGGTAGAGTTGTCAAAAGGGGATTAAAGGGGAAGAGAACTTCCAGACACTTTCTCACAAAACAAACCAACCCCAAGTATTCCAATAGGCAGTTTACTACAGTTCAATGACACCTGGAATACTATCAGAACAATCAAGGCTATTGTTCAATATTCAAATGCTGTAACAGCACAGTTTAATAACACAAAGTTCAAGGTTTACTGTAAGTGTCATCAAACAAATTTCTACTAAGCTTACATTTTCTCTCAATACAAAATACTCAGATCAAACTGCAATTTGACAGCAATAAGAAGTGGAAAGTTGCCCTACAGTTTGAAAGATATAATGCTGAAGCATCAATTTATCAGAAGTTTATTAACCCTGATGTACTAGAGGAGCTCTGCATAACCAAATTTTCTCAAAAACAGCCTTCAAGTTCTGATACTTTTTACCAAGGTTATATGGAAAATAATTTCAGCACAAAACGATTAAAATTTTAATCTTTTAAAATTTAAAGTAACATTGTAACTATAATCAGGATTCAATTATCATGCAAAAAACATCTAACGGCAGTATTTGTACATCACTCTTGACTTACTGATCTTTTAATATGTCTTCATATAAGCACTCCATTAAATATCTAACTGAAAAAAGTACTTACTTTTGCTTTCTCCAGTTTCTGTCTGGGCAGGCAGCAGGCTTTCCTTTCGAACTCTAAAGGTTACTTCATTGAAGGACGGCTTTTTAATTTTAAAGCATTCTTCACCTATTTAGGTAAAATTAAATTATTCCAAGTAACATTAACCGAGAGCAGTATACGTGCATCCATCCCTGGCAGTGTTCAAGGCCAGGCTGGACAAAGCCTTGGGTGACATGGTTCAGTGTGAGGTGTCACTGCACACGGCGAAGGGCTGGAACTAGATGATCTTGAAGTCCTTTGCAACCCTAACTATTCTGTGATTCCATCTACACACATGTATTACATCCAAAGCATGTCCCCTCTCTGTGCGCGCACAGTGTATTTTTGAAGTTCTGGCTGCATTAAGTCTAACTAATGCATTTAGTTCCATGTTCTAACTAGTTCCATGGCTTTAGTGCTCAAGATAACACCAGCGCTTGATTTAAAATTGTGCCTCCTCAATACAGCAATATTGTAGTGCTGAAATTGTTATTGCAGTCTGTGTTCATGCAAGTGACTCCAGTATGCTGCCGTATCTTGTGTCATCAGCCACAAAAGCAACAGCACAGAAAAGTCAACTAAACATTTAAGCTTCAGTTATTTAAACTTCTTCATAATTAAGCAGCCTAATCATGGAATCACGTACTACACAGCTGAGAGAGCTGGATTTGATCAGCCTTGAGAAAAGAAGGCTCAGCTTATTACCATGTTCCAGTTTTTAAAGGGTGACTACAACGAAGATGGAGACTAACTTTTCACAAAGTCACATGGAAAAGACATGGAGTAATGGGCACAAATTACTCCTTGTAACATTCCAAGTGGACACTAGAGGAAAAACTTGCACAATGAGAACAATCAGTCATTGGAATAATCTCCCCAGGGCAGTGGTGGACTCCCCAGCACTGGACACTTTTAAAATTTGGCTGGGCAGGGTGCTGGGACATGTAGTCCAAGTCATGTTTTATCAAGAAAGGCTGGACCAGGGGATCCAACCCGGGATTATGTGATTCTATGACACTTTTCTCTGGTTTGCTCCAGCCCCAAGAAGCTCTCAAATGATTCCCGGCTAAAAGCACACGGACATACGTAACCTTTCAAAATACTTTTATATGGATTTCCTTTATAATCCCCACAACAGCCCTATCCCTGACGCAAAATCGCTATTTTTGCTTACAGAGAAAGAGGTGTAATGGTGACTCGCAGCTCCCGGCGCCAGCAGTCCGGCGCTCCGGGAGCCGCGGACCGAACGCGGGGCGCAGAGGCTAGGCCCGTGTATCCAAGCTCCGGCCTGGTGCGGCTTCGATAGCCATTAGGATGGTAGGACGCTGCCGGACACTTACCTTCTGGCTCCTCCTCACTACCGAAACTCAGCAGCACTTTTCCCCCCCGCGCGGGCCCGCTTCCGGCGATGCGCGGCCCGCGAGCAGCTGCTGCCTTTCCGCTCTCCTCACGGCCCCTGGGGCTGCCCACAGGCTCTTCTGGGGGCGGCGGCCCCTCTCCGGGTAACGGCCCCTCCTCCGCGTGCGCCCTGGCCCCCTCCGGGGACGCGGCGGCGCTGCCAGGGCCTCCCTCACCCTTCTCAGGCTCCGCTTCTGGCTCGGAACAGGAGCTGGGGCCGGGGGCTGGTGACGGGGCGACGACGGGCTCGGGCTCCTCCTCACTGCTGCTGGACGCTGCACGCCGCCGGCCACGAAAGTTACGCGGGGGACGCCGGAACATCGCGGCCGCCGAACAGCCGCACAGCTCCACGCACCCCTCGTCCTCAACGCGCATGCGCGAAAACCCCCAAGCACCACCCTTCGCCCAGAGCAAATCCCGCCCCACGGCAAGGATGCCTCTATGGGCGGGGCGCGAGAACAGCCTCGCAATGGGGGCGAGGGGCGTGTCCTGCGCTTAACGGCCGAGGCGCCGCAGGGTGGGCGGGGACAGCTGTGGTGAGCGAGCGAGCGAGCGAGCGAGCGAGGGAGGAGGTGCCGTACGGTGAGGGGTCGGAGGCAGGGGGCAGGGACAATAATTACTGTAATTAATACTGACCATTTCTAAATACAGTTTTTATAATTATTACACTTAATCATAGAATGGTTTGGGTTGGAAGGGACCTTAAAGCTCATCCAGTTCCAACCCCCTGCCATGGGCAGGAAGACCTTCCACTAGACCAGGTTGCTCAAAGCCCCGTCTAACCTGGCCTTGAACACTGCTGGAGATGGGGCAGCCACAGCTTCTCTGGGAAACCTGTGGCAGTGCCTCACCACCCTCACAGGGAAGAACTTCTTCCTTATAGCTAATATAAATCTCCCCTCTGTCAGTTTAAAGCTGCTATGTCAATGAATAATAACTACTAATGTATAATTAGAAAATAATTTAGAATTATTAATAATACAAACTGAAAATATATAAATATAATTTTTAATAATACATTATTATAAGTATAAGGCTTATTCTGTAGCTTGTTCCCAAAAACTGATCACACATTTTTCTTCTTTTCCCTGGGCTTAGCTCACTAAGGGAATCAGGTGCACGAGGAGGGGAACATATGGGTGGGAAGAGAAGGAAGGTGGCATGCGATGACTTGAATTGCTTTGCTTAGTGAGGAGTTGCACTGTAGCTTGTGCAGCCTTTGATTTCTGCAGTTCTGACTTGAGCTATGTATGATGCGCTATGTGAAAAGAAAGCACATCCACCTTCAAATGAAACCATGACAGCGAGGTGGAGCAAGTCTTTCAAATAAGGCCTTTGTGTCCCAAGAGAAATATTGAAAATAGAGAATGTTTGTAATGTTCTTGCTGAAACTGTTCCATGTTTCTGTCCTTCATCTGTAAGATGAAGACGCTAATATTAACTTGCCTCAGGAATCTTTTGAAGAAAAAGCTGCATTTGCAAAGCATCCATTACAGTAAAAACAATACAAAACCCCAAGAGAAAATCAACTAAAATATATTTCTGTTCAGCACTGCTTCTGAATGGTTTATATTAAATAAAGCCCAAGGCTATACAATGAATTATGAACCTTAAAAACCTGTAACAACTCAGCGCCATTGATCTTCCAAGCATTATTCATCTTCTGTACTGCAAAAGGTTGAAAAAACCTGGTGAATAAATAAAGTAGTTCTGCAAGCACTGGAATGAAACTTCCCTATGGATTTGTGCCTTAAACTGACTAATTGCAAGTTCTGATTCAAAGCTGCTTTATTTCTGTGGAACTGATACATGCTTTCCCTTTGTAGTTTCTCTGTCTGAGTGATGAAGTCAAGAATAAGCTGGGAATACAAGAGTATATTGAGTTTTTCCATTGTAACCTGGACAATGAAGAGTTTGCTGACATAGATTGGCCTGGAATAATCCCCATAAAATTACTTAATTTTGGTTTACCATTCCAGGACTGATCATAGAATGATTTGAGTTTGAAGGGACCTTAACGATCATTTAGTTCCAACCCTCCTGCCATGGGCAGGGACATCTTCCACTAGGTGGAAGAGAGTCTTATGAGAGCAGAGCAGGGTGGGGAAATCAACTCCCTTGACCTTCTGGTCACGCTTCTTTTGATGCAGTCTGATGGAAACTTCATGATGCTAAACAAAGATTTTGTGAGTTTTACCAGGAACCTCTTGTTATCCTGATGTCCTTGTAACAGTGACAAAGCTCCTTTCCTTTGCTGTATGTATAAAAGAGATTTTTTTAATCTTATTTAAATCTTCCCAATCAAGTGAGTGCTACTTAGGCAAGACTGAGCTGGCTCTTTGTTAGGCAAGATGGACTTCACCATGGCAAAAACATGAGAGACCACTATTGTATGCTTGCTATTTCTAGCAGGTTGAAACTGCCGCATTTGCAGTTGTCAGTCCAGTTAATATTCTCACTAAGTGCAAAGATATTAATCTAGGCTGTGGCATCCAGTAGAGATGATCCCAGTGCTGGAAAAAGCACATTCAACTGCAGCAGTGCAGAACAGTATCTCTTTGGAAGGACTGCCAGTGCCAAGTGCCAATGGATTTATTTTATTAGGCAGTAAAAGCCCTTTCCTGACAGTGCTGACATAGGACAAAAAGATATTTTTGCCTTGTATTGTTTAGAGTTGAAGGTTAAAGGTAACAGACAGGTGAGGATTATTGGTCAGAAATATTAGAATCATTAGTTATTAGACAACTGGTGGTCTTTTAGTGACTCTGTGGTCTAACATTATTCAGGCAAATGAATTCTAAGAAAGCCTCTGAGCAGATCAGTGAAGTAAATCAGCAAATTGTTGTAGATTTCCCTTACCAAAGCAAGAAGCAGCATGAAAGCAATATAAACCTTGCATGAAAATGTAAGTGAAGCATTCATTAATGGCTGATAGTATGGTCTCTTTTTCACACTCCATTGATTTCAGCTCTGCCTTGAGCTCTGTTGGTCTTTAATGTCAATGTAAGTTACAAAGTGAGTTACTTGAAAAGACTTCCCACTCTTCAAACAGAGCTCTCAAGTGCAGAAAACCCCTACATCTAAAAAGTCAACTTGTTTTTGCCAAAAGTCTTCGAAACTAGATCCAACCACCTGAATGCCACAACTTTAAGCCACAGCACAATGTTTTTGCTTGCAGCAGCCAGGGGAACACTGTCTTTGCTTCTGTTTGTCATGGAAAAGTCCAGAGGAATGTCAGGCAGAGGAGGGCAGTAGCGCCTCAGACTGTCAGTGTTGCATCTGGCAAGCAAGAGTCAGTCAGGGCAAACTTCTGCGTTTCTCATCAACACAAAGCTTTTGGTAGACTTCCATGAACCGGCTTAAAACCAGTTGGATCTGTTTCTCCTGTCAATGAATATCTGATTTTATTAATTATGTTATTAACCATACGTTTACTGTCTTACACTGTTTCTCCTATCTTATCATAGTGCTTATTTCCTCCATACCCTGCCTGCATCTTTCCATAAATCTGTGAATCTGTAAAACTTCCCTTTTCACAGCAACTCACAAAACATTCTGAAAGATCTGAGATGATTTATTTCAAAGTTGATTCTTACATCACTCAACCTTTAAAAGCAATGTGTAATTCCAAGAGAGCCCCAAAAATTTCAGGTGAGGTACACTACCTAACAGTAGTACTGGTCCCTGGATTCCAGTCTCACCAGTTGGTGGCACCTGAACATATGACCCTCCAATGCCCCTCCGTTTCCCACACTTTTTTCTCCCCAGATCATCTAAATCCCTCCCTTTTCCCGTGTTTGGTTCCTACCTCAAACATTCCATAGTAAATTCTGTGCAACACAAAAATCACAGCTTCATAAAATCACAGAACGGTTTGGGTTGGAAGTGACCTTAAAGACATCTAGTTCCAACCCCCCTGTCATGGGCAGGGATGCCTCCTACTAGACCAGGTTGCTAAAAGCTTTGTCCAGCCTGGCCTTGAACACTGCCAGGGATGGGGCAGCCACAGCTTCTGTGCTGGAGGAGAATCACATCCCTGAACCTGCTGGTCATGCTCTTTTTCATGCAGCCCAACACACAGTTGGCTTTCTGGGCTGCAAGTGCACACTGCCAGCTCATGTTGAGCTTCTTCCCCTGCATCCCAACTGATCTTCCCCTACATGCCATAATGTGCAGCACACCCCCAAGGTCCCTTATAGTCCTGGAGGGCTGCTTCCAAATCTCACCTTTATGAGTCTCATACCAGGATGTTGGGACATCCCTGGGTAAGGCCCAGACAAGGTTCACCCCTCAGGAGTCTGTAACTTCAATTGTCACCTGCCCTTGTGCCCACGTCTGCTCTGCACTTGTGGAGATGGATTTTTGATGGGCTTACAGCCCCTGTGATGGGTAGCAGGAACAGGTATCACTTGGTTATCCCCACCAAGTAATTGTCTCTGTGGGCACGCACACGAGCTTTTACCACATAACATAACAATACGTACCCACTGACAGGTTTCTAGCACCAAAACCAGAAAGCTTTGGGGGGAAAAAATCTCTCATAATAAAGACAGTAGGGATACCAGCTTACTGGTATTCAACTGGCTTCTTGGCTTGCATTGAAATGTGAGTGTGGAGAGAAAAATGCATCTGAAATGAACTTGCAACTCTGGCTTACCAAGGTATTATTTACTAATTACAGGATGAAGATTGCAAATTGCTACAAATAACCTTGCTTAACCCCATTACTGTGTTACTGTCAGCACTTGAAGCCTGTGAAATTTACATGTACCTGAATGTTTCTGACTGCCTGCACTGCAGTTAGGTTTTGCAAGTAAAAGTCTTGTGTCTGCTCAGCAGCTGGCAAATTTTATTTGCCATAATTCAATCTGCATGAGTCAGCACTGCCTTCCTTCACAACACATTCTGGCCTGTCTGAAAATCTGCTTTCTCTATGGTTACATAGATGTTCTACAAATCTCAAAGTAATTTCAATGCAGTAGGCAAAGAAGCCTTTGCCACTCTTTGAGCAAATACCATCCAGCTCTCCATCCCCTACAAAATAGCACCTGTGCTTGGCAGGGTACAAAGTTGGGACATGAATATTTTATTTTATACTATATTTTATAGCTATTAAGTAACAGAAAATCCTGCAAATGAATACAGTAGCGTGTACCATTTGTTGTTTGAGAAACTGTGAGGGTTTCTGGTTCAGAAACCAAACCAGCATCTGTAGAAGTACTATTTCTGATGCAGCACGTGTTTTGTGCCTTTCATACTCTTTGATAAATTATTCCTCAGAACCAACATCAGAAATGCAGCACCTCTGTTGTGTTAAGTGTGGAAAATAAATATTA